CAAGGACCAACATATATATCTATAACATTAATACTGAGAGGTCCCTTAATTAGATTTATCTCATATCCCACTAAAACAGACATCCATTCAAATATGTCAAGATTATTTCACAGTCGCTGTCCAGACAATTTCACATTCACAATAGTTTACAGTCTCCATTCTCTCAGAGCCATTTCCCCTTGTTTCACACTGGTAGATATTATAGCAATAAGCTTTAGAGCCAAAGGAGTCAAGAATGACATTATCCTGTATATATAATCGCATAATTTACAAAGAGTATGAACTATTGGACGAATTCAGTGGACACATCAGGAATTTACAATACCTGGTATACAGTTGTGTATATTAATCTCAGATCACAATATTTACAACACCTGCCCATATATACAGCTACTATACTTTGGACAACTTACGATGATGCCAGTCAAAAACAACTTGAAATGGGACAAAATAAATTTGTACTTATCAGGATAGGATTTATTCTGGTGAGAAATTTAGTTAAATAAATCAGATTCAGAATTATATCAGAAATATATAGAGGATATTACATGAGTTTCCATTTAAAAACAAGTCTAATCACTTTTTATTTCACTGAGACGAGGTAATGGTGGAAAGTGGCGGGTTGCATAAACCTCATTTGAAATGGAAACAAATGTAAGATTCTGTTTATCATCTTATATGTAATTACAGACAAGCATTTTTGAAAACAGCAATTTGTTAGACTGATACAAAATCCGAGTGTGAATGTTCTCACTTAATCTCTTCCTTGTGATGTCACGGAACATGTGTTACTATGAGGTTATGATGTGATAAATGAAACACCACAAACCTTCAGCTCTCTGGTAGAGTGATTACAAATGATCATACTGTATAGTTCCTAATATTCATGGGGGATTTAATTTCAATATCTTCACGGTTAATAAAGATAACACGAAAATTAAACTACCAATGAAGATCTCTACACTGAATGAAAATCTTAGAAACTATCTGTCATGTCTGTATACATAGACATCAGTTCATACACGTGTGTGGAATTAAGTATCAGTGATCTACCCCAAACTATAACAACCACAAAATATAGGCCCCCCTCCCACCCTAAAATTAAACTATATACAGTAACACATTTATATACGAATTGTTGTTAAGCTAATTACAGGGTTAGCTAAGTGATAAATTCCAATGTGTAACAGCGACATATCTTAATAAGACGGATGTTGCTTGGTTAAAAATCATTCTGTTCTCCAAGAGTTATTGCCCTTAATTTCACAGTCAGGATATGATATAGTGATAAGCTAAACAGCCGATGGGGGCAGAGAATGAGTTAAAATCAGAGTTTTCAGTATCTATAATCTGATGATATTTACAACTAAACTTACAGATGATCTAGTACATATCTAATCCTCTGACGGATGAAAGTATTTTGCGTAAAACTGGCAAGCATTGCAGGACACTAATTAAAAATGTCTCTATTCCCTGGTTATTGTCCCATGTCTAACCTGGCCTGGCTAAACAACATATTTGAGACTTAAAACAGTTGTTAAATGTCCTGATGGATATAAGTGCAGACACTGTATCCTGGTAACCTACAGTCCCAGATCCAATTGATTTTCTGTTTGATGATGACCCTGGATTCAAAATAAGTCAGTAAGTCTACTGCATCACAGCATAGCAATAGAACGGTTTTTGTTTCAACTATTAGATAGACAAAATTCTATTTTGTTACTGTTTTTACTATTTTGCCTGGAAATTACATTTTAAAACAATGCCTTTAAATAAACTACTGAAGACAAGGAAGCATATTTTGGAAAGGATATTGATGTGTTAAAAACTGTTTCTGAAATTACCGAAACTTAAAGAGTGTTTGGCTCTGGAAAAAAATATATCACAACATACATGTTATACATTATTATCTTTCTTAAATATTAGATATTAAATACTTTTCAATTATATACAAATACTGGGAAATCTATTTTACAAATAAAAAAGGGCAAGATCTTTTGTTTTTGAAATTTATGCATTTCAGTAGATTTAGTAACACGGGATCCTAGCATATGTGTTAATTATTTGTATTGGTAAAGACATGATAAATATTATTAAAAATTCATTGCACATAAACTATTGCTCAGGGAAATATTAATTAAATGCATGTCTTGAATTATGAAAATCTACACCAGAAATTGAATTCGAGATAAGTAGGCTGTGGTGAGGTAGGATGGGAATGGAGGGAAGTGGTGGGGATGGGGAGATACAGGGCATCAAGTTTACAAAAGGCGAACATTCATGTCTCATTTTTAGGTCTTGTTGTCCAACGTATGTACTGTCATGGACATCAAGAAGAAAGAAATCAGTTAGGAAGTTTTTACTTTTATAGGTGTACTGTCTAGTGCTGAAATATATCATGGAGACAAGTCTAAGATTTTTTTTTTTTTAAATTAGGGAGTAAAAAATCATTCTACATCCCTCTTCTTCACATTGGAAAAGATGGCTTCATATGGAACAGTATTTGAGTGGTCAGACTGATATTGTCTGAGGCAGTGTTATTTCTTATTTGCATTATCCTTTTTTTTACAACAATGACCATGTCTGACCCAAACATATCATAGATTGACATCACCGACCACAGACTGATACCAAACGGTTTACAATATGTAATTATGCCTCTGACACTTTTAATATCAGATTTTTGAATATTTGAATGATTTGAAAATCATGATATTCCGTCAAAAATTTCAAAACGTAGTTCATCACATTTCTCACAGTGAAAAATAAGGGCTATGTACTCATGAAACTATAAAAGTGTCCACTCAAGGAAATTTAGCCAGAATAACCTTGATGTGCTTATTCTCCATGATACATCTGTATGTAATTATATCCTGTGTAACTGATATATCTAGCTATACAATAAACAGTTTATATATTTTATACCTACATACCTGTTGCACTGCATTAATTATAAATGTAAACTTTATTTGTTTTACAACAATTCCAAAACAACTTGTACTAATCATACTTGCTGGCTCATATGTTAGTATGCAAGGAGTCTTGGAGAACTCAGGGAAAACCCACGTGGTCAGACAGGTGATGCTCTACCTTTTCATGTCAGTCCCGGGAGGAATCAAACCCCAGACAGCTAGCTAGATGAAAGGCAAGTGCATTACCACTGCGCCACCGAATCACTGCAGAATTTCTTACAATGAAGAAGTAGATAAGGACAAAGAAACATAACAGATTAAAGAGATGTTTCTGAATTTTCTAAGCATTATTTAACAAAACAAGCAGATATTTTAATGTGAATGGTATATACAGTACACTTTCTGTGTAATTATCAATATACAAGCCAGTAGACTCTCGTTTGGACAGGGATGGATAGTAAGGCATACGAGGATAAAGACCAGGAAATGATAAACAAAGATCAGTATTCAATGAGATTCCTTTAAAAAACACTACCAAGAAATGAAGAAAAAAAGTTGAAATTACTAGACAAAGTTTTTGTCAAAATTACAAATAACAAAGACACTGATGGAGTTCAGTTGGTATAATGAATGATAATTTCAAAAAATTCAAATCTTGAATTTTAAATTAAATCTCACTTCAAATTTAACTAAAACAAATCACAACTGTTTCAGGTTTAATTTTTTTAAACGTCAAATTCCAATCAACTAAAACAAATACTACATTTTACATTATGTATTTTATCAGAGAAACTTTTGTCCACTTCAAAAAATTTGCCATTAGAGCGAAAATAAAATGTGGTTAAGTAATTGATACTACAACTGAGATGCATGGATAAATTTAACAATGACAAAAAATGAGCAATTTTATCTGAGGATCAAAACAATACCCTTGGCAAATGTTTCCCCGTATAAAGTGACTATAAATCCACTCAATATTTTGACCAGAGATAACCCTTATGTAGTGATACAGAATTCAGACAATAATATGATAAAATTGTATAAAATTATATTAAATATTGAATGCAATATTTTAAAAATACTTACATTTTTTTCTTATAAAAGTATACAACATATGAAACATAACTACAAAAACTCTCAATCAAATGTCAATTCTATTCTTTGAGATCTGATTTCTGCAGCTATAAACAACACTTGTATATGACAAATAAATGTACAGTATTCCCTATTTGCAAGAAACAAATTCTGCAACCGATGCTGTCTCTGGTGGAACACACCTGCCACATATCTTTTCGTTGAATTTGGCACTGAGAGAAACAGCTGCATTTAAGCACAAGCAACAGTTCATCATAATATTTTCATAAGTTACCGTTTGAATACCTATAGGAAAGATCAATTCTGAAATTTCTATCATACATATCAGTTGAAACTTGGAACTACCTTTCCAGAGTTGAGTGTATGTCACCTTGTTAATTCAGCATAACATCAACACTGGGTACATGTGGATTTCACACATATATTGAAGTTTTGATACACAGTAGTCTGAATTTTCTGTCTGTTTTTGTATGTTGCAGTATAGAAAACATGATCAGTGTCTGAAAAGATATGTTATATCAAAGTTTAGGACATAATGATGGAGGTGGCCAGCTTATGGCTGTCTTTGCCATTGCCAAAATGCAGTTTATATTTTAATACATTGACTATATATTCCATATATGTATTCTTAATGCCATAGTGTTATGGATACTTGCAGTGTATACTCGATGAAGCTTCTTGTAATGTGAATGGATTTTATTTCTCCATTTTAGTTATGTATTTCTGCTTTATTTTTGTTTCACTAATCTAACTTAGTATTCTTTTTAATCCAACAATTCCTCAATTACTGATGAAATTAAAACAACAAATAATATGAAAAATACTGATATTAACCTTTGATACTGAGAAAAAATTCCATCTGATCTGGAATGAGATTTGTATTTTGCAAAGAGGGAATATCAGACACACAACACTGAAGTATACAACAAATCTAGTGACAAACAAACATATTAAATGATACAGGTATTATATATGATAAAAATAAAGTTTTCTTCACAATCTGCTGAAATCATTGTTAGCTGAATTATTTGATTTGGAATGACTTGGATGTAAAAGGAATTCATTGAATTTTTCAAAGCTCTCTTTGATACTCTCCCTATCCTGAATACTACAGCCATGTATAGTCCAAGGCCTATGACCGTCCTCCAGGTTCACTTCAAGAATTTCTTGAATCTGCAGAAGTAAAGGGAAGTCACTCTCAATACAAATTAAGTATGTAAATTATCTATCATGTGTAAAATACTCATTTACTAAACCACCCCTATGTAAACAAGAACCTAATCAGTGTAAAAGTTGATGCTTAGATATGACACAAATTCATGACATGAAGCAACAGAAGAGATGAACAAGACTACCGCTATATGCCCTCCCTAAATGTCAAGGGCACAAACATAATAACAAGCTTCTCTTTAAGATCCTTGCATTTACCAGGGAAAAACTGACAAATACTTTCTTTACAGCAAATTTTAACAATTTTAAGAAGAAAAAAATAATGATACCATCACATACTGAACTGGAAGTTCTTAGAAGAACAGAGCTAAAAATGCCATTGATTCATGTTGATATCCCCTATAATGTATCATGGAACAGGACATACAGATCCATGTACCTAATTTCTTTCAAATTTTCATTTTTTGAAAAGTTCTTTGAGAACAGTTTGTTTGCTGGTTTTATGTTTATCAGTCAGTCTGAGGCAGTGTTTACTTGAACTAACTGATGGTTACTTCACTGAACAACATACTGAAGGCCTGTTGCATGTCATTCAGAACAATTTTGGTAAAGTGTCTTGCCTTGAGATATAAAGACACCAGCACAGAACAGTTTTTTCCTCAAGCTTCCTAAGATATACAAAATGTCAAAATAGAGAATTAGTTGTATTTACCTGAGTGGGAGACTTTGCATTTTGTTTATCCTGGTAACTGCACAACACTAACAAAGGGAGATCATCCAGGACAGGATCACCCAGTGCTTTGTGTAACTCATTACTGGCTAGCTTTAGGTTCTCATCAGATGAAGTGCTATCCACCACAAATATGATTCCTTGGGCTCCTGCATAATATCGGTCCCAATACGGACGAACAGATTCACGACCTACACCCAAACAGAAAATTACTTTTTTTTCAAGTCCACTAAAAAATTTCTGCAATTGAAACATTAATGGATGAAGTACTATTTTCATATTTTGCACAACATACTAAAGTTTCTTCACATTCCTCAATAATGTTTGCAATTAGCATTCCATAATATATTGGGGCAAGTTAAATATCATTGAGAGAAACACAGAGTAGTCAAAGAATTCTAGTACAATCAATGTAACCTACTTCTCATTTCGGGAATTATATGTCCATGAATTTCATGATAATGAATGTTATGCTTGACTACAGGGCAATATCATTCTGACTTGGCTCTTAAGATAAGATTTTTAATATATATATATAATTGTTTATTATGTAATGATCAGTAAACATAAAAGTGTTTTGCAACAGAATTTTATCTTACAAAACATCAACCACCTCATTTCTGTACATAATTTTGTGTTTTGTTTCTAGTAATAGCCATTCTCATAAGAGATGATGGCAGGTCACGTCAATTGCATTTCTGAAATGAGACAATGTTGTTAGTGATAAAGCACTTTGGTAGGCCTATTATAACAATCTTGAAATTGGAAGCAATCACCAAATACACCTATCCCTAAGTTTGTATTACTTGCCAAAATTTCAATAGTGCTCTTACGATATAATTACATGTATAGGTTTTGATAGTTATAAATGAAAACACTTAGCCTCATAGCTGTACAGTCAACTTGTGTCAGAGGTCACCATTAAATAATTTTCAAGGGACTTCTTTGACCTTCTGTATACTTGAGAAATTTTTTATCATAATGTTACAAATCTAAAGACTTTTTTTAAACTGTTCAGATTTGTAAAAATTCTATCTTATCTGAAAGATGTTGGTCTATATTATAGGATATGACTTACTATTTTATCTCCTGATTGTATAACAATGTAAGACTTTTAGCAATTGTCTTTTATCTCTTCTTTTGTTTGATGTTATTTCCTTTTTCATCACTGTGTGTGTCTTTCACCAGTTGATGGCCTTAATAAGACATTTTATGAGTTGACAGGCCATTAAGAATATAATAAATATAATAATGATAATAAAAATTGTATCAGAGGGCTAGAATGAGGTGCAATAGGTAAAAAAATAGGTGAATAAAAGCCATTTACACGAGCAGAAAAATTCAAACCCTGAAAAGAGTGTAGCATTTGCTAACTAGGGTATACATAATTACTTACCGGGCTGAAACAAGTCATAACCAAAGCAAATGAAATAAGGACTCATTCCACACTGATGTAAATTTAATGAAATTATAAAATTTATAATATATTCATGGGAGTTTAGTCAGAACATTTGACACAAATATCTGTGTATACTCGCCTCCAAGCTCTTTGACATCAACAATGCAGTCATCAAACATTAGAGCTTTGATACTAAAACCTGAAAAAAGATGAAAAAAAAAATGAAGAAAACTACACACTATCTGTCACATTATGACATACATAAATATACTATAGAGACAATTGTAACTTTTATGTACATAACACGATAAATCAAATTGTGCACAAAGAAAAAAAATGTCTCATTAAACACTCAAAATTTGTTTGGCCTGTATAGATATAGAGAGATAAACTCATGTTCTTCTAGTTGTTAAGAATATAATTATGAATTTATGACAAATAAAATCTTGTAGACTTGTATCATATCAAATTATTAAATATTAAACATGTTTAGTAGATTCAATATCACATGGCTATGCTGTATTAAATATCCTTTACGTAGAATTTTTCAGGAGTTTCCATTTGATATGTGAATTAATATATTTATGACAAAAAAAAAACAAAGAATTTTTCACCTTAGCAAACCTTAGCAAGCCTTTGACAAGCGAAAAGGAAGAATTGGTGTCAAATTTCATATGTATCACTCATGTCCAATGGGAACTAATTCAATATCAAAAATGGTAGGAAATATGAAATTTGGAAAACTTGTTGTAAAGGATGAAAACTGCTTCATGCCATATCGAGATTAGGCTCTGTTCATGTACATAAAAATCCATAAAAAATTGAAGTATTTACAAGAAAGTCATTCTGCCAACAGTATTATATGGCTGTGAAATGTGGACGAACAAGACAAAACTGAACAAGAATCAGAGACTTTCCAGCTTTATGCAGTGAAATTGATTCTAAACTTTAAAACATCTACATGCTCAGACATACTCAGAGCCTTCTTGCTTTTCAACAAACTATTATGCAGATAGACATAAAGAAAGTTAACTTTTTGCAATGTCTTATTAACTGTGAAGAAGTGTGCCAAGAGAAATGTATCTGCAGACTATACAAATACACAGATGGAACTCAGCACAGACAATTTGGACTTCCAGATTTAGTAGCCATTTGAGCAAAATATAATCTGGATTGGTAAATTTAGAATAATTTTAATTCTACAGAATTTACATCCAAATCAAAATGGAAAAATACAATAAGAGGATTAATAGAAGAAAAAGAAAAGCTATTTTCAAATGGAATGATTATTGACAGTGACTTCAAAAGATTTAAAGATATTCAAACCTCACCTAATGCTACACCAATGAACAGCCACAAATTTGTGCAATCTGTGAATGGTTCATATTTGATACAATTAGGCACCAAATGTACATCTACTTTTCTCCTTAGAGACATTTGAATGATCAAATATTGCCAACAATCAATGGGGATTGCCAGAGCAATGTGTGTTTTTCAATAAGAAAGCTCCCAACATATATTTTATTTTCAACGAAACAATTCATTGAGCTAATGCTCAGAAAGACCTTGTTATTCTATGTAATTATCTATTCTCTAATTACTGACAAATTAAGATGAAAGATGATAACTGAACAGTAAGGTAAGCATGTGATTATATAAAGAGAACATTAGAATTTGTAAAACTTATGAATTAAAACTTTGAAATTTTGGCATTTGGTCTTACCAATAGTTGGTGGTATGTCCTCATATTTTTCTCCACTAAGCACAGCCAGGAGTGAGCTCTTTCCAGAACCTTCTAACCCTAGACACAACACTGTAAAGTTTGGTTTCGCAGGTGGAGGTCCAAATCCACACAGTCTCCTGAAGAACTACATGTATAAAGTTATTTTAAACAGTTTCCATACATTTTTTTCTTATATAAAAACAACTCAAAAATTTTTTTTAAATAGATATCCTTTCCAAATATGTTTGCTCCTTTCTCAGATATTATAAACAATCATCCCTTTTTGGACAATTAAATAGCATGAAAAAAGTATTGGACCTTACACTGATTTCACACAGATAGTTTATAAAAGCAACAACTGCAAGATTATTAGTAAGATATATTCCATAAATCATCTTTGAATGCACAGAAATGTTGTCATCGCCCAAGTGAATAAAAATATGCATGTACATGGATCTGTTAAAGAACCGAATCCATTTGCAAATCTGGCCAACATTTAAATAGAAAATCTTACTCCGTTTGTGGCATGCATGTAAAAAAGACCATTTCTATTCACAATTATCATTTACCATTTAAATGCTGGGCACTTATTTCTCTTTATATTCAAAGGGGCTGAGTTCTCGCTTTCATCAACTCGAGGCAGATACAAACAATTAATAGTTGTCAGAATAATTTGACCTAAAAGTGCATGCACTGCTGTAGTGAATTAAAAAATAAGGGCCTGGAATTTTTGCTATCAACAGTGAAATGCTTTTAAACACATCTTAAAGAGTTTCATGGAAAGATAACTTTCAGTTTGAAGTAGTTTAACTATGTACACAAAGTGTGCAAAGCTGTGATATGATCAATATTTTGTAACTCTAGTACAAGATTACATTTAACCTGGTACTGTGTAAACTATTACAAAATCCAGTAAACTTTGCAGTCTTAGTCACCAGAAAACAGATGCACAGTAATATTTTCTGAATTCATAACCAACTGAACAGTGTCAGGCTGTACTGAGTAGTACTGGGCGGTAACAGATTGTTACTAGTATAGCTGGTAATTGCTTTGCCATTGATTTTCTAACTCGAAGTGGAGAGAGACAGAGATAGAGAGAGACAGAGAAAGAGAGAGAGAGAAAGACACACAGAAATATCTTTAAAAAGCAAATATTAAGTCAGAAAAGGTCAGTGAGACAAATAAACGTGTTTGACTATGAAATAAACCCAAGATAACCGGGTACGTTGCATGAATAATTGTTTAATTCACTGCATCCACGGTGGGTGCGCTTATACAACTTTAACGAACACCTCTGGATCCGTTCTGTCTCTAAAATGAGCATAGTCAATAAAAATGTAAATATCAATAACAACGTAATCAATGTGAATTTGACATTGAATTTATTATTTCAAATACAAAAAATTCGATCTTGACAAAGATCGCAGTCGTTAGCTTCCAAGACAAAATAAAATCGCGGAGAGAGTCGAACCTTTCGGACTATCAACAAGGTGTTCGAAACTAATTCTGTAAAAAAAATCATGTGTGGACATGTTCTTATCTGCTTGCGTGGTTGTAGTGCATTTTGTCTTATGTAATTTGCATCATATTCTCACCGAGTAGACGGCAATTCTGAACACAGCACATATTAGCAGCAGATTTTCACACATTTTCTTAGAATGCCTTTTTCAGTTTGTTGGCAGGTTCTTGTTTACGGATGGCGGGAAATGACGTCAGAGTGAACATAGTAGAGTCTAAAACTATTTCCGGTGTTTAGCATATATCACCGAACCGGATATATCATTAGCAAACCAAGTCCAACATTGCTTTTTCATCTAATATTAGTTTTTCAAAAAAGAACAATTGAGACATCAATTCTGACTGGTCTCTATATCTTAGTAAATAAGATAGAATAACAATGTCTTTGACAGGACTAATTTTGCAATTTTTAGTTATAAGCTTAGCCATTATAGCACTCGATCTAAGCAATTAATTATCTAATAAAGAGGTTTTGTAGGGGAAAAGATACTCTTTTTTTAACCTCCTGCAGTGATTAAGAAAGCTCCAAATGAAGGTCTGTGATTGCTGGTACATTGTTTCTCACTTATTTTAAAGACAGGCATAACTAATTTTTTTTTCGAAAATTTGGATTAATTCCTTGAACAAGAGATAGCCTAAGAAATTAGAACTGGGGCAGAGTGACTAGTAATCGCAAGGATTTATTGGACTATTTTTGTCATATACAAACCAAACCAAAACTGAGGTTGTGTTAAAGATATAACATTTATACATTAAATACACATGCGCTTTAGATTAATCTGCGAATCAGTTGTCAGAATTTTGTTGTGATATTTACTTGTCCGCATAATTAATTAAAAGTTCCGAATTGGTTCCATTGGTTAGTTTGTTAGTATAATGTGGCTTGGCGGATATCGTTCTAACGCATCCAGATTATGACATTTCAATGTGATGGCACTATAAAAAAAAGCACCCATCAGCTCCTCAATCATCATTGGACATCGTCCTGTATATGACATCGACGCTCGCGAGTTCCTTACCCCCAAAACAAACATAAACGAAGTTAAAAACCTTTATGCAGATAAATGAGGCCTAACAGAGAAAATTCTCTATTACATCAAACGTTCGTGATGATACTTTCTTCATGACTGAAACAAATCAACGGTGAAAATGAAGACGTTGATGAGTTTTATTTTCTACAGTGCTCATTCATAGGAATTCAAGTGATCATTTTCTAATGGTACATAAATGCATTGTTAAATAAGGATTTGGTGGGTTGTTTTTTTTTCTATCTCAATATTAATATGATAAAATCACTTAGAAATATATTTTTAGTTTGATACAAGGACAACAAATACTTTATATGTAATGGAAATATGACGATTTAGTAATATTTTTCTTTCAATAACACAAAAAAAGCAAAGTAGAAATGATAATGTAGCCTAAGATATGTAAATACCTTACTGCAAAAAAAAACCAAAAAAGCTGTTGGTAGGCAGAATATTAAAAAATTAGAAAAAAAAGTAAGGAAACTACAAAATGTATCGAGAATATTAAAAGGTGATTTTCATGATATAGTAGCCGCAAAACTGAACCTGAGAGCAAGTTGAACTGAGCGGTTAAAAACCTCTTCCTTAAAGAACGAAATGACAAAAAAAATCATGTTTTAAAAGTGTGTTTGTTACGCTACTAGACGGGAAAATAGAAATCCCAATCCTTTCACATAAAGAAACGACAACGATTATAACTCGTGTCCTGGTTCTTTAAGAACTGGTAAAGTTGAAAAATTAAAAAAAAATCATTAGGATAGGAAAGATTACATCCGAAACGATCACCATTAGCAAAGTTTTAAACTATTCCATTAAAAATGATTGGAAACAAGATCAGATAACCGCGGATATGGTAGTTATCAACCGTCAGCTAGTTTGACATCAATTATATATAAAATACTATAAACTATACCAAACGTATTCCAAATTGGTGTGGCAGGTTTACATCATTACAACTTCGGAGTGTTTTAGATAAAAGGTATCCAGTTAGATAATTGGATTAATTGCTTATATGATTTTCAAAAAGCGTCAGTCGATACAGTGTCGTCATACGGAATTACCGCGGAAATTATCTAATGGACGGCCAGCTTCATCTCCAGTAGGAAACAACGAGTCTCGCTAAAATACTGCTATGCCGTTTGGAGTGGTATGTCCTCAGGAGTTCCCCAGGGATAGGTACTCGGGCCGTCCTACATTATACAATGCAGTCTGGAGCTTAGCTTTTCGCGATGACACAACATTATTTAGATGTATACAGGGAAATGTTTGATGCAAACATACTTCAAGATGACCTTGACCATCTGTCAACTTGGAGTTATAAATAGCTACTGAAATTACATTCCCAAAATGTAAATCAATCCACATTAGCAGACATAATGTCAGCCGAAAAAAAAACTTCATAACGAAAGATTAACGTAGAAGTATACAAGTTTGAAAAAGATCAAGTTCTATGTTTGCATTAACGAGGCGAACTTTTCATTTTGATATAAACTATATTCAATTCATTCATTATATAAATATTGTACACGAGCCATCAAAACATGTCAAATGAATTAGATACGGAAACAAGTGTTGTGACACTTATATTAATCCGCTTCAAGATACTAACTCATTAAATTTGACGCGACACGGTGTAAACATTCTAAACTCAGAAAAAACGTGGCTAATTAGGAATGAGGTGGAAAAGAAAGGGATATGGTAGGTTGGGGAGGATGGAGAGGAGTTTCCCTTCATGTCATAAACTATAGAAGCGGAGAGAATGTGAAAAGTCTAATAGCAATACTACAGAATTCAAATTAAAAGTAATAGAACATTAATGCTGTCGTTACGACTGAAGTATTCAAAGTAACGAGCAATATATGTGATAACGCGTTATGATTGATATGACCGAAGTGTTTGATATATAAACAAAAACAAAACAAAAACAAACAAAAAACAATAAATAACGAGCCGGAGGTTTTTTTAACACTTGAACGACATGGTCTAATAGACTGGGGATAAGAGGACGTTCTAAAAGGCTATCGTCGCAGTACTATAAACTGTTTATAATAAAAATATATTTTAGTATGTGCGTAGTCATAGAAAATCACCATAGAACAAGTTATGTCATCACGACAGTAAATTCTTTCAAAATAGATTAGAATGAAGCACTGGGAAGATCAAGACTTTTTAAATAACTATAAGTTCGAAATTTTATACAAATTAGAACTGTTGTCATAATGAATTAACTTTCTTCGTATAAATGATCCTGTACTGGCAATAAATTAACATAGCTTTTAACATTCACTTCATAGCTCATTGCTTTTATGCATACAAAAATTACTCCTAGAGAAAAGTTTTCCTCTAACCTGAATTGTAAAAGGAGCGGTTGGTGTGGCTAGTTTATACACAGTTGTTAACTTCTGTCTCTGTTACTCAGCTGACGCAGCATGCTTCTATTGCTCAGCTGGTAGAGCCAAAGACCCGTGTTCGATTCCAGGTCGGGGCACTCTACAGCAATGAGTATTCTCCTTGTTCTTTCACCGAAATATTTCTCGTCTTGCCTTGTTAGAAAATTGGTTTGTATGGAACCACTTTCATAGTAGTAACGGATAATAGCCAATTAAGATATATATCCCGAAGGAATACTGATGCCTTTGTGTCAAGATTCAAATAATCCAGGAATTGAACCAAATTTAGTGTAGCCCAAAAATTGAAAAAGAAAATCAACAAAAAAGTGGGATATCACAATTTGTCAGAATGGGCACACTGTCAATATAAATGTGTGTGAAAATTTTGTGTAATATAAAGATACATTTCATTTCAGTACAAAAAAACCCCATCACATCAATATCATTTGTATTTGCAGTAAAGCTTAAACATATGTGTTGCCTAATATGCTTTAAATTCATACGTAATTCTCAAGTGAATGTTACGTGGAATATCGTGTATCACACCAAGCAAATTCCGGATATTGATAACGCTTCGTATTTGGTGTTAATTGGTCTTTGCCGGAAATAACTGTGGGCATCTCTACACCGATATTAGTTATTGTTTTTCTCTCCTGTATAAAGTGACTTGCGCAAGTCTACCATAAGGGTAATACATTGTATCAGGCTTATATAAGCGATAAAGTATTGTCGGTACCTACGCGCTTGTATATAGTAGTTTGTCCATTAGACGTATTAGATTTTTGGCCATCCTGTTCCATGAGAGCCACGGTAACAGGGCTAATATTTAGTCTGAGAGGATTATACAGAGGTCTAGTTGTACCGAGAGCTATGTCGAGTGACTCAAAAATGTCTCCCTTAGAGCGTGAAATCAAAGGTATTATCTTAAGTAAAGATGATAAAGTTGTCATGTTTTCGAAATCTTCCTGCCCATTCTGTATAAAGGCGAAAAGGGCATTGACAGGAAATAACATTAAGTTCCGTGCGATTGAGTTAGATGGAAAGCCTGATATGAACGACAGGCAAGATATCCTTGGAAAGATAACTGGCGGAAGAAGTGTAAGTATACCCACCTTTCTCTAGATCATTGTTTACAATTTTCAATTTTTAATGTACTTTAATATATATTGTGAGTCAGCGTTGCTAACTGAAAAATGATGTCACAAGTTAAAACAGGGACGTATACGTCCCTGGTTAAAATAACCAATTTGCCTAACTCTTATACAGAGTTTGTCCCAGTTCCATGAATCTACTCTAACCTGGGGAATTTTCTTAACTTAAAATTGCCCATAGGAAAGCATTACGTAAGTTAAGGGAATTTCCCTAAATTTAAGTTTTCCCTTAACTTCGTAAAACTTTTGAAAGACAGTAAAGATTTTCTTCAGTTAAGGAAGATTCGTAAAACTGTAGTCTGTATATAGATCTACATGCAAGTTCAAGCTATCTTTTAAACCCCTCCCTATTTCAACAAAACATTGTAAAGACTTATATATGTTTAGGAGTCGATCAACATAATGAAAAGGACCCAACGTTATGTTGCAATTAGCGACACAGTAATATTTGTATAAGCTTATATTATCATACCTTAGGATATAATTGCTGTATATGTAAGTTGAGTAGAATCAACCTTCTAACACTTTGATTATGATAGCACAGGTGAATATCCGGAATGCGAGGCCGGATCAGGTTGACGATATGGAACGATAGTTATTTCCCTTGACACTGTTATTTCGTCATGCTGGTAGAACTAATATTGTCAGTTATAGTACAAAGAATGTAAACGTGCTTGTAACAATATAATCTGAATAAGTACGTCTATCAATGTCCGTTTTTTGGCCAGTCTATCCCATGTTTATGTGCACATTTATCCTTTGTTGTCCCATGTGTACCGAAATTTGTTGATTAATTGAATTGTGATAGATCTAATATCAGTTAGTTAAAATGTATGCTTTGCATAGTAGAAGTTCATTCTGATATACATACATATATAGTAAATGCTGAGCTGACCCCGACCCTGTTCAGTACAACACAATATTTGTATTAAAAGAGCTTGTGTAACAAATTTGTCGTATTGTTTTATCACATTACATCAACTGTATGTGATAAAATGGATGTATTTTTTTTTTTTTTTTTTAATTTTTTAAAATTTTTTGACATTTTTTACATATTACACAATACACAATATACAAGAGAATCCACACAAAAACATACGCCCACACTCTTACACTTGTGTGCTCTTACTTGAATATGTCTTACACATATACACGCAGCATCATTATCATCATCTTTATCATCATGCACATGTATGCACACAAACTCACTCAACAACATTCACACCCACTTACACTCACATAGCAAACTTACATGCACTTAACAAAATACTCGCACACACAAATACACACACACACAAATACAATATTATATCACTTACACTTATCAAAGATATTTTCTCACACACACATACTCACTCATGAATACATGTAAATTTTTTGACAGAGAATACAATTTGATTCTTTCAGCATTTTATTGTCCAATTTAAGTTACATAATAACTTGGTGCCAAGAATAAGAAACAAACAATACATGTTGCATAAATCACAATAATTTATAAGTAACTTGTAGATTATTTTCTTACCCAAGTATTTGGTATATATTGGAAGTGTGACCAAAGAAGGATAATTTTTATGACTTAAAAAAATAAAGTAAACCAACTTTTAGCTCTCCAAGTGACTTTTTCAACAGTATTCATGTTAATGAACAGTATATTTTTTGAGAGTCATCATGTTCAAATAATTTCAATTTACAGGTCCCTAGAGTTTTTATCAACGGAAAGTTCTATGGAGGAGGCGATGACACAGTTATTGGGGTTAAAAATGGAAAAGTGGCAGAGCTTTTAAACCAAAAGTAATCACATGGCACGGTCACATACATTGTCCAATGTCTTACTGTGAGGATTCCTCTTGAAAAAGTTCCAATACATATATACAGAAAAAAAATCATGATTGAAAATATTGACTTTGTGTTGTCCTCTTCAGAAAAATGGTTTCTTTTGTATTTACAAAGCAAAATAACTGTAAATACTCACATATTACTGTCATCAAGTATATTATATAAGTATTTACTATTTTGAATTGTTTTTTTAGTTATATATGTCCTTGTATATCCTGGCTTATAAGTATATTGTACATTTGTATTACTGTATGTTATTTCCTTTCTATAAATGTTTGATTGTTTTACTCAAAACATACATCAATAAGACTAATTATACCAAAGATGAATATTTAACTTTATTGGTTGTCTCCTGAAAAGAAGTTAAATTAACTAAACAATATATCTATGTAACTTCAGTCATAGCTAAATATAATGTAGGTTGAACATCCTTATGCAGAGTAATTGGTTGACTGTGTATTAACTCATGAATTTATCACATTACTGTACGTGATGTTACAAAAGGTTTTAACATATGCTTGTCTAGTCACTATCTAATCCAAACTGTATTCTTCAAATGATGTAAATTTTGCAGGTTTACATCCTTTTTATGTTTGTTCTCGCTCTCAGAAAAAATAATCCTTCCAAAAAAGGCTAGAGGTGTATCAAATGAATTCTTGGTTGTATTGAATTTCTGATGTTTCTGATTCCATTGTACATTCACTAGTGAAATATAAATTGTGTATTGACATTTCTGGTAGTAAAGGAACTCTATTATTTTATCCATTTTCAAATCTGAGTAAAGTATTATGGCTTTCAATTTACTTGTTGATCTTATTTTTTCAATTGTGTGTGTCAGGGTGTGTGTTTGTGTTGTTTTTTTCTCGTTTGTGTGTGTCAGGGTGTGTTTGTGTTGTTTTTTTCTCGTTTGTGTGTGTAAGGGTGTGTGTTGTTTTTTTTCATTTGTGTGTGTCAGGGTGTGTATGTGTTGTTTTTCCATTTGGGTATGTAAGGGTGTGTGTTGTTTTTTTTCATTTGTGTGTGTTAGGGTGTGTGTGTGTGTGTAGTTTTTTTTTTTTCATTTGTGTGGGTCAGGGTGTTTGTGTTGTTTTTAGGTCACCTGAGCCATCATGATTTGTGTGTCGTCGTGCGCCGTGCGTCGTTAACTTTTCACATATTTGACTTCATCTCAAGAACCACTGAATGGATTTTGAACAAACTTGGCGCAAAGCATCCCCATGGGAAGCCACATCAAGTTTGCGATGAAAAAGGGCATGACCCCAATAGGGTGTGTGTAATGGTGTGAGTGGAGTTTTTTTTTCAAATGTGTGTGTCATGGTGTGCTTGTGGGTTTTTTTCCACTAGGTAAAGTATTATGGCTTTCGTTTTTGTTTTTTGTTTTTTTTTGCATTTGTGCGAGTGTGAGGTGGTGATAGTGGTGTGTATGTGATTTGTTTCACTTTGCCGAAAAATTATGTTGAATGACCTGAAGAGACTGAATTGATGAACACCGCCTTGCAAAATCATATATGTGTTCTCATTTCTAATCAAAAGTGGAGTGTGGTTCAAGTATATTTAATTTGCTTCCAAAATTTAAGCAAGAAGAATTTGTGCTGGTTAATATATCAAATATTTTAAGCCCTCTCTTCAATAAATCAGGATGTAACAATACACCTGGCCCAAAGGGCCAAGTGAGGTTATGCCATAGCATGGCGTCCATCATCTGTCCGTCCTGCATCTGTCAACTTTTCATTTAAACAACTTCTTCTGAAACACCGAAAGGCGTAAAGTTATTATATTTGGCTGGAAGGTTCCTTTGATGAAGCCCAACAAAGTTTGTGAAAAAAATAACCTTGACCCATATTCAAGGCCACAAAAGTCAAATGTGTTAAAACCTTTAAACGACCTTGATCCATATTCAAGGTCAAAGAGGTCAAATGTGTTAAAACCTTTAAACTGACTTCTTCCAAAATACCGAAAGGTGTAGAGTTATCATATTTGGCTGGAAGGTTCCTTTGATGAAGCCCAACAAAGCTTGCAAAAAGAAATGACCTTGACCCATATTCAAGGTCGTAGAGGTCAAATGTGTTAAAACCTTTAAACAACTCCCCAAATACTGGAAGGCCTAGAATCGTTATATCATGCTACTATGTTCCTTTTATGGTGTCCTACAAAGCTTGCAAAAAGAAATGACCTTAACCAATCTTCAATGTCACAGGGGTCAAATGTGTCGACACGTTTAAACAATTTCATCTGAAATATCGAAAAGCCTAGAATCGTTATATTTGGCCAGTGTGTTCCTTTTATGAAGTCCAAGAAAATTTGCGAAAAGAACCCATAGTAAAGGTCACAGGGGTCACATGTGTTATATACACAGATATAGTACTGTTGGTCATAAAGATCCAGGTGAGCGATACAGGCCCTCTGGGCCTCTTGGTTAAATCTGCACAGCGCTGATTAATGATACAAAAATACTTCAATTCTATATATGGGCATTGTGTACCATTGGTACATGATCTCATAATCAACGGACGCATTGCATCAGCCCTCGGTTATGTATCAGATTGAAAAGGTGTTGCAATTTTTTTAACAATTTAGAATGAATTGGATTGTAAAATATAATACATCCCTGGAATTAAAGTCAATTTCTTAATTTTATGATGCTTTTAAATCTCATCGGTTCGTTTCAAACGAATTGAAAGTCATTTTCAACCTTCATGGCGCTGTGAAAGATATTCGGTTACATCTGTGTTGCAACAGAGTAATTCCATGAAGGTAAAAAAAAATATATGTTCGACCCCTGTTTAATATACATGAGTGTAATTATCATCATCATTACCATAATTAATTAGATGTATATAACACGAAATTTGATTTGCCAAAAGAACATATTTTGTGCCTTTTAGTGTAAACCAGTCGGCCAATTCTACATATATACATATCAACAACACCGAGAAATGTCCCCGATTTCTGAAAATCGTGTTTTGCTTGGTTAGATTATATAACTTTGAAAGGAAATATCCCATCAGTGTTTTGAATTTTTAACGCTGTATTTTAAACCCTGAAATATTGGGAAGCTAACGGGCACATATTGAAAATGAACGATAATAATTCATCCTGTAACAATTTCAATTATGTGCTAAAAACAAGTTTTCCTACACGAAAAATTAAAAAGGATATATACATTGATTTGAACAAAGTTTTTTTAACGGGACGCTTTCTATTTCAACTATCAAATTGATGTTGAATCAATACTGTGTTGTGTTAAATGTGAACTTGTATTCCCTTGGTTTAACCTAACAATTTAGAATATGATGATTGATATATGATCAACAATCTCAGTGTTTTTATATTTACGCGTGATGTTTAGATAAAACACAGTGATATTGATTCGCCGGCTACATGTGTATGTGAAACACGGTCGTTCGGTACTGGAGTGAAGCATACTTCGTAATCCTGGAATCCTAAATTCCATTTAAGTAATGGATTGTTTGAAGCCCACAGATGGTATCGACTGAATTAAGTTAAACACGGCTTTTTTTTCTAAAAAAAAATGAGTTGAACATGTAGAGACGCTGTAAAGTGTTTCTGAAAACTGTGTTAGAATCACGAGAAAAGGCGACAGTCTCCTTTTTCACACGGGATACTATAAATCTAACAAAGATAACAATTTGAGAAACAAGATAACAAACTTCAACTGTCAACATCCGGAATGGTCTCTCAAAGGCCATTTTGTTTCATAATCAGACTCGAATGATGCACGTGAAGATTGAAAATATACTTTCAATATATCTCCAGAAAAACAATACAGTTTTTGTTCACGGACGGATGGACAATGGACGAAAGACGCCATCCAATGAAAACTTTGGCTAAATTTTAATATTTGTTTTTGTCGTGTGGAAGAACATAGCATTTTACAAGGATGCAAGTCTCATAAAAAAAAGTAGTACTCTCGTACGGTCTCTGATCGAGATACGACATCTATACTGAAACAGATAGGTATACTACAGGTAAAGAAATTGATCGGCTTTTAATATATGTATGCCGAGCTTATTACCGTAAAGTACCGATTGATCCTGTGTACAACAATAGCGATACACACGTGACACGAAATAATCAGAAAAGGTTTTCAATGCAATTTCACATATGCTTGTAAACTATCGATAAATTACACGGATACCATCAGGACATGCATTGTTAATAGTCGACGTGTGATGACTCATATTTTGAAATAATATGCATAATATATATACCACTGGAAACTAGTTATTCTAGTCGGAATGTAATTTTTTGCACTGTTTCATATTATAAACAAACACCTCAGTGTCAGGCTGACAAGTAATATTTCTGTCGGCACTTATGCTTCCCATAGCATTCATACTAATTTTCAACTAAATGGCTGTAGTGGAACTAGATTATATTATCTTATCCTTCAACTAGCGCTGTCATTGTCGGAATACACCTGCCACATGTTTTTTTGCTGTATTCGGCAGTGACGGAAAACATCTGTATATTTTTTGGCACGTGCGGTAATTCAACAGAATCACTTTCTGAATTTACTTTAAATTTACGTTTAAAAATATAAATACCTATTGAAATAAGTAAATGTATATGTTGTAATGAATAAGTTTATTTGCGAAAATTCATAAAATCGCTGTCATATTCGTTGAAGTTTAGAACTACATATCTGCGCCGAGCAACCATTTTGGCGTGCTTCATCGGAGTAAAATTCAGCGTAACGTCAACATAAGGTAAACAAAGATTGTACAACAAAACTGTTGAAGTTTTAATGGTTGCAAAATCTTCAAATTCTACAGCGTGAACATGGCAACAAGCCTTTAAATGGCTGATAGAATGTTACCATTACCACCGAAACGTCAATTCTAATTCGCCTCTGTCAAGTCCTCGTGACTCCTTCGTAAAACCCTCCTTCATGAATGATTCTTTTTCCGTCTTTAATTTTTAATTTCTTAAATTATTGATATAGAGCTAATGGCTACGGGCATGGATGTGTTAACTTTCAATTTCATGTTGCTTCTCCGTATCGAAATTTACTCCAAACCATCTACCCATATAGAGATGGGAACCATAAAGTCATGTACATGCATACTGTACTTCACAAATAAACTTTGTACAAATTCGTAGTTATGTACACTGCTTAAGGAAGAGACCAGACCGTTGTTCAATGGAAATTTAACTTGTTCTCTTTGCCGACTACACTTCCAATGGCCATTTGACTGCTAGAAATGTTTCAGCTCCGTACAAGTATGTTTGGGACTTGTAATGTAAAGTAATATGGTGGTTTATCAGCTGTAAACCACCATGTGAAATTATTCACAGTCGAATTTTGTTTATGACCGTTTTGTCCTCTTGAGGGCCGGCACGAACACCTCTAGTATTCCCCTCATGGGGTGCCATACCAGAAGCAGGATGATCTTGAACAACTCCATCAGGATTGTAATGATGGGGCGAAACGGATTCAGCTCCATATCCAGCTGCAAAAGTAGAGAAAACAAGAAGACTACATCAAATAAAAAATTAAGGTAGAATGAAATGATAACGAAACTTCTAGTACAAACATTAACACCTGACCACTAAATATAACATACAATCTCGATACTGGCAAGAACACTATCGGTCTAAATTATACCTTCCTGGTGTAGTGGGACAAAAAGTTAACGGTTTGCATTGACGCATTACAATATTTACGGTTTAATTAAAAAAAATATAAATCGCGCCGGCCATTTGAATGCAATATATGTGGTCAATACAGAATCGCAAAATTACAGTCGAGGAACCAACGATTGGGTTCAAATACCACACGCAGAATCTAGATAAGTTAGTTACGGTTAAATGAAAACAATGTCCACGGAAAGTGTTTTCTCACAAGAGTAATTTTCTGTCCCACTACACCAGGAAGGTATCATTTAGCTGACAGTCTTATACGTCCCTGATCACACTGAAATGCCACTAATGCGGTATAAACAATATATTTTATACGGAACACCGGACAATGATCTATGCTCGTTATCTGACTAGCTGATGCATGTTACGGATATCCTGGTGCCGGCTTTACAGTGCATTATATTGTTCTAAAGTATACAGAATATGATATTTATAATGAATTTCTAGGAAATCGGACACAGTTATAAACTCTGACATTGGCCAGGCTTATGGTGATGGACGACTACCAGTTCCTACCAGAAATTGTCAAATAGACACGGCGATAGCTTCCTAATCCCCGTATATATATATAGACTGTTATCACGTGTCGATAATGAGTCATGTGGATCTTCTATTTTACTATGATAGCTGTTGTGCATTTTAAATTTTGTTATCTATTGTGTGTACTGATGTTCATCAACCAGGGTATGTATACACAGGCATAATTTACTCAGTACTTGCCCCAATAAAGCTACACATTCACATATTTTCATGTTACTATGTTCGTAGTCGCAATCACAATAACATTGCTAAATAGTTACCATTACCCATAAACGTTAATATACGCCACCCGACGGTGTCTGACTGAAACGTACCCTCGACTCCAACCCACAGCCTGAACTTACACACACCACACACACCACACACACCCAAGTTGTGTCCAGTTTCACAACAATCCAGCGGTACTCACCTCAGATTCCGGCCGTCGTTAGTTAGATCAATAAACCAAATACTGCACGGATAGAGTTTACACGGGAAAATGGAAATAAGCCTGACTGACTGCACCCATTACATAAGATAAAGTGCACGTAAAGTCCTCGACTGACGAGCTACCGAGCTACGCGAGCTGATGTTTACACTAAGTAAATATTGACTGGCGAAACCACGTCATGTAAAGCATTGTTAGCTTACTACGAAATCGATGCCAGAAGATATTTTAGTCTATATACTTTATATTATCATAGACAAACTTGACGGGCTTTTCATCTATATTTGGCCTGTAATTAATAGCAATGTCTGCAATACATTAACACTCTGTATGAAATCAAAGTACAAAAGGAATCATCAATAGTAAGAGATCAAAGTACTGAGTGTGCTGTTTTCCAAAACAATGTTGTAATTTTGAACTGTAGCGGGAAAAACCAGTGTCCACAGGACCACAGGAGGTTTTTAACGAAATTTCACAATTGCTTACCTCTAAAAATATTAAATTGAATTCATGAATATTTTCCATGATTGGCGCCTGTGACCTAGAAAGTGGGTCAAGGTCATTCATATTTACAAAATTCAATAAACAATTATCTTAGCATCATATTTTTGATGTATCGAACCTCTAGGCCTTTCCAAACTTCAGAAGAAGTTTCCTATATGTTGTATGTGATACCCTACATTGAAGTTTTGAACTTTGACCCCTAAGCAAAATCGGAAGTTGTTCTTTTGTGGAAGTTTTGCTTAAACCAATCAAAAGCAAGTTCCTACAGAAGGTTTTACCCGAAACAGTATCCGATTTATTCTTGAAAAGTAAGAAATTTCATGTAATGATGTTAATATAATTGACCCCTGTGACCTTGAAAGTGAGTTAAGGTCTTCAATATTAACTACATTGATGGACAATTATATTAACTTAATATGCATAAGATATCAAGTTTCTCGGCCCGTTCAAACTTGAGAAGAAGTTTTGTATACGTTGGTACCCTACAAAAGAAGTGTTGAAATTTGACCTCTAAGGAAAACCGGAAGTTCGTATTTTGTGGAAGTTTTGCTTATACCAATCAAAAGCAAGTCTCATCATGTAACTGTTTTAATGTTAAAAAGTAAGAAAACGTCATCTAATGATATTAATATAATTGACCTCTGTGACCTTGAAAGTAGGTCAAGGTCGTTCATAATAACAAACCTAATAGACAATTACTTTAGCATTATGTGTGTGAAATATTGAACGTCTAAACCTTTCCAAACTTGAGAAGAAGTTTCTGGTTATTTGGTACCCCAAATTGCACTTTTGAAATTTGACCCCTACTGAAAACCGGAAGTTGACGTTTTACACAAAAATGTCCTATAAGTAGTGCCATTTGTTTTCAATTCTATATAACATATCCAAAGATTATTTTATAATGTCACGTCATCATTGAGATATTGACGTTAGGGCAAAAATCAAATATGGCGTCGTGGCGGCCATTTTTTTTTTTTTTTTTTACAAAGTTGAAAATCACATCAGAATTTAGAAGGCACGTTAGTAAACCTGTTCCTTAACAATTAAACAAAATTTCATCGTAATAATTTTAGTTCAAACTTTTTGTCTGCACATTGCAGAAGAAATGTAGACACTATAATGATCACATTGACACTCTGCATTGAACTGTGGGAAAAACCGAAAAAAAATAATAACCATTTTCTTTCATATCTTTAGGTGACCTTGACCTCTTGGCGACCTTTTTACTTGAAAGAATTTTATTAACATGTAGATTAAGAAAATTAGATATGACCCTCCTCTACATAAAATATAAATGTAGCAAATTTGTAGGACAAATAGTTTTCAAGTTATTGCTGTTTTTAGAATTGGGTCATGGCGTCCATATTGGATTTTTGACCTACTTCAAAATGCGGCATTAACAAGTCCATAGGTACTTTCATAATATACTATATAGTTTGCGTGTATATCCCTTACCGTTGAAACGATTACGAGCTCACAAATTCGGAAGAAACATAACGAAAACAAGAGGTCTTTTCACCTTTTGGTGAAAAGCCCTAATAATATTATAGCTTCACATTCAACAGCATTATGACTACACGAAGATACGGATTATTTCGAATAGTTTTATAAATGATGAAACAACATTAGATAGTTTTTCATGACACTGATGTTTGCGTTAAACAATGTTCTACCACTCAATGTTGTGATGCATTCAACGGAGGAATAACATTATTTGAAAACGTTGTAATACATATGTTACAAGAACCGTTTTATCAATGTTTACTTTAAACATAAAGCTTGTTTCCTGGAACTTACTATCACGTGTTATGTGTTATGGTCTACCTTGATGGTAATTCAAAGGAAGAGGAGAGAAAATGCAAGCAAGGAATAAAGACGAGTTATACAAAGTGTTCTTTACTGCTTTAGCTTATCACTACACTACATACAGTTAACACAAGGACAACGATATAAGTTTACAGATTTCAAGATTTTGTCGAATGAATTTTTAAATAGGTTAGTAACTGCAAAATATTACTCCTTACAACGTGACAACTTGTGCATGTACCTCAAAATATTGTTCATACTTATGATATTCTAGTAATGTGTTCATCAATAACAGATGCAAGGACCAAATCAATATTCAGTTGAAATGACACACCTGTCGTTTAAAACCTCTGTTACACCACAGTATTCTTTCCATCGACATAAACCCCGTACATTGTCATTACAGTAAAATATCGATCTAGTGTCCGACGTTCATCATGACAGTAAATCTCTGTTATAATGCCCATCGTCTATCAGTTTAACATCTCATTATAATGCCCATCGTCTATCAGTTTAACATCTCATTATAATGCCCATCGTCTATCAGTTTAACATCTCATTATAATGTCCCTCGAGTGTTAGTCTAGAAGCTAATCATAATACCCTCAATATATCGCTACAGTAAAACTTTGAGCAATATCTCTCATCAGTTATTATGGTAAAATCTCTATATAAAGCCCTTGGTAATTAAAGAAAACCGACGGTAAAACAACTATATGATAATGTCCCTACTCTATCACGACAGTAAAACCTCTATATAATGTCCCTAGTCTATCACGACAGTAAAACCTCTATATAATGTCCCTAGTCTATCACGACAGTAAAACCTCTACATAATGTCCTTAGTCTATCACTTCAGTAAAACATCTATATAATGTCCCTAGTCTATCACGCAAGTAAAACCTCTTTATAATGTCACTCGACTATCACGACAGTAAAACCTCTATATTATGTCCCTAGTCTATCACGACAGTAAAACCTCTATATAATGTCCCTAGTCTATCACGACAGTAAAACCTCTATATAATGTCCCTAGTCTATAACCTCTATATACTACAGTAAAACCTCTATATAATGTCCCTAGTCTATCACGACAGTAAAAGCTCTATATAATGTCACTCGACTATCACGACAGTAAAACCTCTATATAATGTCCCTAGTCTATCACTCCAGTTAAACCTCTTTATAATGTCACTCGACTATCACGACAGTAAAACCTCTATATAATGTCCCTAGTCTATCACGACAGTAAAACCTCTATATAATGTCCCTAGTCTATCACGACAGTAAAACCTCTATATAATGTCCCTAGTCTATAGTAAAACCTCTATATAATAATGTCCCTAGTCTATCACTATCACGACAGTAAAACCTCTATATAATGTCCCTAGTCTATCACGACAGTAAAACCTCTATATAATGTCCCTAGTCTATCACGACAGTAAAACCTCTATAAACCTCTATATAATGTCCCTATCACTATCACGAAAACCTCTATATAATGTCCCTATCATAATGTCCCTAGTCTATCACGACAGTAAAACCTCTATATAATGTCCCTAGTCTATCACGACAGTAAAACCTCTATATAATGTCCCTAGTCTATCACGTAAAACCTCTATATAATGTAAAAAACCTCTATATAATGTCCCTAGTCTATCACTACAGTAAAACCTCTATATAATGTCCCTAGTCTATCACGACAGTAAAACCTCTATATAATGTCCCTAGTCTATCACTACAGTAAAACCTCTATATAATGTCCCTAGTCTATCACGACAGTAAAACCTCTACATATTGTCCTTAGTCTATCACTTCAGTAAAACCTCTATATAATGTCCCTAGTCTATCACGACAGTAAAACCTCTATATAATGTCCCTAGTCTATCACTACAGTAAAACCTCTATATAATGTCCCTAGTCTATCACGACAGTAAAACCTCTATATAATGTCCCTAGTCTATCACTACAGTAAAACCTCTATATAATGTCCCTAGTCTATCACGACAGTAAAACCTCTATATAATGTCCCTAGTCTATCACGACAGTAAAACCTCTACATAATGTCCCTAGTCTATCACGACAGTAAAACCTCTATATAATGTCCCTAGTCTATCACGACAGTAAAACCTCTATATAATGTCCCTAGTCTATCACGACAGTAAAACATCTATATAATGTCCCTAGTCTATCACGACAGTAAAACCTCTACATATTGTCCTTAGTCTATCACTTCAGTAAAACCTCTATATAATGTCCCTAGTCTATCACTTCAGTAAAACCTCTATATAATGTCCCTAGTCTATCACGACAGTAAAACCTCTATATAATGTCCCTAGTCTATCACTACAGTAAAACCTCTATATAAAATCACTCCTCTATATAATGTCCCTATCTATCACGACAGTAAAACCTCTATATAATGTCCCTAGTCTATCATAAAACCTCTAAATGTAAAACCTCTATATAATGTCCCTAGTCTAAAACCTCTATATAATGTCCCTAGTCTATCACATAATGTCCCTACACTACAGTAAAACCTCTATATAATGTCCCTAGTCTATCACTACAGTAAAACCTCTATATAATGTCCCTAGTCTATCACGACAGTAAAACCTCTATATAATGTCCCTAGTCTATCACTTCAGTAAAACATCTATATAATGTCCCTAGTCTATCACGACAGTAAAACCTCTATATAATGTCCCTAGTCTATCACGACAGTAAAACCTCTATATAATGTCCCTAGTCTATCACGACAGTAAAACCTCTATATAATGTCCCTAGTCTATCACGACAGTAAAACCTC